GGGGGGGGGGGTGGCACACCGCTGTTGGGTCCCCCTTCGCCTAGGCCTCCAAGATGACGAAAAGAAAAATACCAGCAGCTAATAGTGGCATCGGCGGGCAAGCAGCCAAGGCACGAACATTTCGACTGAAAAACTCCAACCCGACGAGAGTTGTCATTGAAAAAAGGGGGACCGAAAACACAATAAACTGAAGAAGAAAAAAAATACCAGACCGACATCTACATGTAGGACTGATGGACTTGGCTGCCGCAATTTCAGACAACTACACATCAAAAATCGATGGGGAAAAAACACGAAACACAAAGGATGGTTGTACCCTTCCCGCTCTCGTATTTTCCTTTCGATAACTGGTCAAGCCGCTCGACAAAAACAAGTAGTAAATCAGTACGTACTCTGTTCTACATAGCAATGGAAACGCACCATGAAACAGGCCGACACGACAGCAGGAAGCAGCACGACCCAGCAACCCCAACACAATGGTATTATTCCGCTCTTCAGAAGATAAAACCCAGCGGCAGCGGGGGGTGGGTGGGTGGGGACGTTCTTAAGGGGCCGCCTTTCCTTTTTTTTTTATCGCGTGCTACGAAGAAAGTGCTTTAAGAAGCGGCGAAAACCAAGACATACATCCCCACCACATAAACACTGCCGTGACGTGACCATCAACTCCTTGCCCGAGCGGCCTACTATCGTTCGAATCGATTAAAGTTTTGAGACGTGCTGGGAGCCCCTCTCGCTTAGTGCAAAGGGAGTCCGGGCCGCTCTTAAGAAGCGAACAAAAACACTCGAGCCGCACGGTAAACACGCCCGGGTTTCAGGGCGTGCTAAACGTGAGGTCATTTGATATAAACCAAACGAAATCGAAAGAAGACACGCGGAGACGACGGCGGAAAATACAGTGACTGCGACAAGTCCACACCGGGAACCAACGATAGAATCAAAGCTGCGCCGAGCAAGGAGAGGGACACAGGACCGAAAAGGACCAGGCGACAAAAGATGGGTGAGCAAGAAGCGACGGAATGGCGGCTGCCGGGAGCGGCCACCAGACAAAACAGGCAACACAAAAAAGCTAAAAAAGTACGTTATATTTCGAAATCTAGCTCATCATCTCGCTGGCGCCGGCGCCGCCGCTTCCTCCTCTCTTCCCCCCAGACCTCAGTTCTCCTTGAAGCGGGAACGGGCGACCATCACGCTTCCGTCGCCGACATGCCCATCAATGGCGGCAGGGCGCTGGGCACGTACTCGTCGTCGCAGGAGAGGCTCGAAGACATGCTCCCGCTGCTGGCCCTGCTGCCGCCGTCCGAGTACATCTGGGCGAAGTCCCCGAAGCCCCACCCGAGGTTAGCGCCCACCGCCGTGCCCCACAGCTCCTCCGACTGCTGCTGTGGTTGTTGCTGCTGCTGCTGCCGGCCCATGAACGGCTGCTGCTGCTGCTGGAGCTGAGACCCGAAAGAGGCCCCGCCAGAGGTCGACGGGCTCCTTTCCTCGTCGTCTTGACAGCAATACCACGACTGCATCTCGTAGCCCAGGAGGTCCTCGGCGACCGGGAAGCCCATGCCCTCTTGCGTAGTGGACGACAACGACTCTTCTCTCAGGAGGGACGGCGTCACAAACTCGCTGCTGCAGTCGCTCTCGCCGCTGCTACACCTCCCCCGTTGCTGCTCCAGCTGCTGGGTGTGTAGGTCATTGTTGTTCCCGTTACCGGCGCCGCCACGATGCGAGACTGCCGCCGCCGCCGCTGCCGCTACTTGCGCAAAAGCGGAGCCATCGGCAACAGTGGCGACTTCGCAGCTACGGCTGCGGCTGTGCCCGCCGCGGTGACCCCGCCCGCCGCCGCCGCCGCCCCCGTCCGACATGGAGCCAGTGGACATGGCCGACGAATAGGAGCAGGACATGGACCTGCCGCTACTCCCACCGCCTCCGATGACCCCGTCCTCCTCATAGCGGTCCCCGCCCTCGTCGCTCATGTCGCACTCGGCCGCGGGCAGCTCGTCGTCGTCGTCCCCGTTTAGGCGGCCGCGGCCGCGGCCGCGGCGGTGGTCCTCCTCCTCCCCGTGGACCGAGTCGTCGATGTCGTCGTCGATGTCGTCCCCGTGCAGAGACTCCTCATTGTCAAGGCCCTCCCCGTCGTCCTCCTCCGACGAGCAGGTGGTGGCCTCGTCCATGCCCCGGTGGTACTCCTCGAGGTCGTCGAACTCTTCCCTACCGACCGAGAAGCTTCCCCCGTGGAGCTGGGCGTGGTGGTGGTGGTGATGGGCGGCGGCGGCGGCGGCGGCGGGGTCCTCCGCGAGCTGCTGCTGCTGGAGAAGCTGCCGCTGCTTGTGGATCACGGCCTGTCGGTCGGCCTCGTGCTCGCTGTCGAAGTTGCACACCGCGCTGTCCGCGAAGTGGAACCGGGCCGCGCGGTCGTGCGCCTTCGCCGCGTCGACCTCGGACTCGTACACTCCGAGATAAAGCTTTTTTTTTGGCGAAAAAAAACACGTGGTGCGGTGTCCGTTCCGCAGAACATCAGCGTCGGTGGTCGTCAACAACAGCAGCAGAGCAGTGCAAGCGGGGAAATTGTAGACAAGGCGCTATTAATTGCTGATGTACTTGGGTAACAAACCGCGTCTTGGAGGACCCTATCCATTTTCATATTGATTTCTAGAAAGGTGTCACACTTTTGGGGGTACAGGTCGTACGTTGGGGCGTAGTTAGCTAGTGACCACGGAAAGCGTCCGGGTCAGTTGGACCAGAACGGACATTGAAAGGTATTGACCGGCCGGGGAGACCGGAACGGTTTCTAATGTGAAGAACAACTACCAATGTGTGTAGCATGGATACATGTATAGCATATGTGCACACAGACGGACGAAATGACGCATCATGAACCAAGCAGGCGCGCGGGCGGCGGGGGTGTTACAGCAGAGTCACGACATCTGGAAGGTACTGCACCCTCCATACGTCCCCCTACACAGCAGCAGTAACTCCCTTATTCTCCAGCAGGGCGCGGGGTGAAGAACAGCGGTGGAAGTGCAAGCACGGAGGTGAAGCCACAAATTCCAAACGTATATTTCCGCCGGCGTGTGTGTGCTGGCCATGCAGCCATCTACTGTCGAGTACATACAACCTGAAGGACATTGTAGTTCCTACCACAAAAAACGGCATGTTGGTTGATTTTTGACACCCAGCAAGTAGCCCGGTGCGTTGAAGTAGAGTCGAACTCCTTCGAGACAAGCAAAGAAAAACAACCAGTAACAAAAAACTAGGAAGTGTAGCTTTTCACTGCTGCACACAGACGAGGGACATTGGGGCGCAAGGGAACGATCTCCATTTCCACGCACGCACGCATGCTCTCTCATAAGACAACAATCGCTCGAGATTTGCAGCCGCTGCGAATGCACCCAGCCAACGCCTCTAAAGCAAAATAACTGCGCGGAAAACATGTATCCGCGCCGACCCTGTCCTCCGGATCAACTTGGACAAGTGGTGCGAACCCCAGCCTGCCAGTGGCCAAAACTCTATGGAACGCACACCAACTCAAGCCGCTGCGTTACGAAAGAGATGTATGAAAGAAGTTGCGTGACAAATCTCAGCGGTCCATCACGCAACGAGAGAAATATGGCAAGCACAAACTAGGCCAGCCGGCTAGATGTTGCTCACGGGACTGCTGAAGTTAAAGTGCAACACTCACAAATTTTCTGCGAAATTATGATTCTTCCCTGCGAGCATATCCATCGAAACGAGAAAACGCTGTATTTTCCGCGCACCCGCTAAACTACCGCAAAGCAACTGCTGCTGCGGCAAAAGGTTACCAAACCTGTGCAGACTCGCCACTGGTTCTGTGCAGACTCGCCACTGGTTCAGTTCACGCGCGCATGTCACTCACGGCCACCGCTGACTCATCGCAATCGCAAGCCAAGGTCCTCTTCATTCCAAACGCTCACAAGACCCATCTCCGCGCTGGCACCCCTTTCGTTCAGTAAAGTCTCAGAATTTCGATGAGCTCGCTCTCTCTCTCTTGCTCTCTCTTTTTGTAGAAAAAAATAGATATTTCGACCCGACCAATAAATCTGGGGTGTCTGTGCAGCGCGCTTTCGGTGCAGGCCACGCTATTGCCCGCCGAAAAGCGTACCAAATCACTCTAGTCCAACAGGATGGGGTTCTCAACCCCTCACTCTCCATCTCGTGTGCAAACAGAACTTCAAGGTCCCACGTTTGTGTGGTCGGCTCCGCAACACACACGAGACCCCCCCAAAAGACATTTTCATCGAAAAACACTATCAATAGTATCTCTTGTGTGTCCCTGGAGCATATTTCTGCATATTTTCACGGCAAGAATCGAAAAAATACACGACACAGCCCAGGCTAACGTGGAGCTCACCTGCTTGCGTTCCTTGTAAATTACAGCTCTCCACTTGCCCTCCCGGGTGACGCACACGCCACGGTAGACAGACTTGCCTCTGCGGCCCCTTCGCCGGTGTGTTGTGGGAGCTTTTGCCTTGACGGCGGCTGCTGACACGGCTGTGATTTTTCGGTTACGAGAGAAGAATAGAGGGGAGGGCGACCCAATCCGAAGAGAGAGCAGCGACGCGTCGGACAAAACTCAATCGCCTCGCGTCCCGAAACCAGTTTAGTAGCAAGGGCCTTTGTCGGCACCGGCTGCTGCAGAGGCCTCTTAAGAAGACGTCCGGGCGGCAGCCGTGGTTCCTCTTCCACAGCTTTCGGCGGGGGCAACGTTCGCCTTGCTGGGTCGTCACCCTCTAACGTACGCGTTCAGACACCCACACGGTTCGCGCGTTCGTTGCAATATTCCGTTGATTTTTCAACACTTGGTTGAAAATTCGTCGTCCCAAATAAGCGCCGCCGGCAAACAAACTAGGGAGCCAACGAGGCGACACGGGCCAGATACACTCAACAACCAAATCGCATCCACCAAGCGATCACCACAACACGTGCTGGGGAGACTGCCTTAACCCTGCGTGTTGCTCCCTTACCTCTCCCTCGCTGAGCCTTGTAGACAGAGCCCTTGTTGGTCATCGCAGTTGGTGCGCCCGTGGAAGCCCTCGTTGTTGTCGAGGACCCAGCCGCCGCAGCCGCAGCCGCCGCAGCCGCCGCAGCCGCCGCAGCCGCGGCAGACTTGGCAGCCCCTGACAGTCGCATCCGCTTAGGCTCCGTGGCGTATTCGGCTACCTCGTGCTGTCGGAAAGACCCGCTGCTGCTCTCTTGAGGGGGAGCCATCGTTGAGTAGAAGGATAGATTTTGGCGTGCCCGCGTACCTTATCCCAGAGACTCTTATCCCCAAGATTATTAGAGATCGACCAGGTTGAAGGTGCCGGGCGCCGAGGGAGGAAGGGGCCGAGAAAGAGAGAGTGCGTGGGAGGTGCAACGCCAATAAACACGCGCACGTGCGCGTTTTCCGTTTCTCGAAGACCCTTGACCCTCCCGAACTCTGAGGTAGCCGTTTTCGCGTGGGTGTCACAACGTTGTTCACGTGTGTGGGGAGAGAGAGAGAGAGAAGGCTGGCGGCAATCTATTCAGGAAAATCTAAAAATGGAAAACCACGCTATGGATTCATTGCCAATCTGTCTTGGACTCTTTTTTTTTTTTCTCTTTTCTTACATAGAGATGTATTCGTTGCGTCATATTAAGAAAAAAACACAAGGCATTTTCATGTCGTTTCCAGGTTCAAACCACCGCCAACAGCTGCCGCAGTATAGGAAGATTCTAAATCCAATCTTCAAATTGATTCCCTCGATGCGGTCGTTGGTAAAACTCGACAGTCTCGGTGCCCTGTCCATCAGAATCTTGGACTCCTGCCGGCTTATGGGCTTGTGGGGCTCGTTGACCTGACAGGTATGATGTCGTATCATGTGTTGCTGTTGGTGTGACGACCACGAGCCCGGCGCAGACGACCCTGGATCCACGAACCCGAGAGGGTTTTAAGTGGATGCACCTCCTAACACCCTCGCGTGCAAAGCACGGGCAGATCTCGGGTAGTCTCCTTCGCCGGCTTCTCGGGGTGCAGCCTCAAGAACAAAAAGCAGAGAACTTGGCCGCGGCTAAGATACACAGGAGGCTTGGTTGGGAGGAAGACACGACCACGTGCTTGAACTTGCGCGAAACCGAGGAGTTTCGACATTCCTCAGCCCAAGCCCACGAGCAACAACAACCACGATGGACACGAATAACCACCAAAACGCCCCCCCCCCCCCCCCC